TACTCAACTAGCTAGTAACAGTCAGATTTTGGTTCAAATGTTAATATTCCTCGTTAGTAAATTTAGATTTACTAAAATGTATTCCACGTTCCATGCAATTTTGGAATACATGTTACAATGAAGAAATTACTTATTATTAGCTGTTCAGTCATCTCAAATCACAAATGGGTGATATATATATATATATATTTATATAATGCTTTCTATAAAGGAAACTGAGCTCATATTGAAACTGAAGATTTTTTTAAAAAAGAAAGACATTTGGCATGGCTACAGAAAAGCTAAGCTGTTGTTCCAAAAATATTTAACACGTTTTGTTATGTTCTGCAGCAAAATGCCAGGATGTCCTATATGTATGGCTCTTTGGCTGACCAGTTATCTGACATTTGGAACTGATATATAGTCAAGTGCCACTTCTACCGTGTTTCCCCGAAAATACAACAGGGTCTTATTTTCTTTTACTTACAAAATATGGCCTTGTGCTTATTATAGGGGAGGATTTATTCTTTTGGGGTTGCCAGGCAGCTGCTCCCTTGCAAACTGGCTCCCAAAAAGCCGGGCACAGCCTCAGGGGCGAAGCAGCCATGACGTGACCAAGCTCACGAGTAACTGCCCAGCAATCCCCTCTCCAGCCAGGCAGAGCACCATTCACTGACCTAGGGGGTATCCCTAAGGCGCCAAGCTCCCTAGCTCCCACGGCTTGGCACATTAGGGATACCCCCTAAGTCAGTACATGGTGCTCTGCCGGGCTGGAGAATTGGGTTGTGCAAGCGCCTGTTCCACCCCCAGCAAGCATGTCTCCTAGCCCCAACATGTGCAGGCCCAGCTCTCCCTGCAGGAGCCACCGCCGCCCTCCAAGCATAACGTCTTTTCCAGTTCAAAACTCCCAAACTCGGCTGCCGAGTCTTCCAGCAGCGGCCGCTCTATGAGTGTGCTCTATGGTTGAGGGCTGGCTGCTGGAAGACTCTCTGTCTGGAAGATTCTCTTACAGAGTCTTCCAGCAGCCAGCCCACAACCATAGATCGCACTCCTAGCGCGGCCGCTGTTGGAAGACTTGGCAGCCGAATTTGGAACCGGAGAAGACATTATGCTCGGAGTGCGGCAGTGGCGGCAACTGCTGCAGGGAGAGCTGTGCAACTCTCCCCTCCAGCCAGGCGGAACACCACTCCCCAACCTAGCGGTATCCTGAAGGTGGCAATCAATGTGAGCGCCTTTCTCCCCCCTAGCTCCTGTGGCTTGGCGCCTTCAAGATACCGCTATGTCGGTGAGCGGTGCTCTGCCTGGCTGGAGGCAGGGTGTGTGTGTCCAGGGGGTTTATTTTGGGGGGTGGGCTTATATTTTTGCCCACGCAAAAAAATGTGGCAAGGCTTCAGTTTCAGGACAGGTTGTATTTTCGGGGAAACCAGGTATGTTATTATTTTATTTTTATTTGGTGCTCTTTGAGCTTTTTTTTTTCTTGCAGACGTTTCATTACCCAAACTAACTAATATAATCAGTGCACTGTTATTTAGTTTGAGCAATGAAACATCTGGAAGGACACAACCAAGTTCAGAGAGCAGCAAGGACCTCTCATTTCCACACTGAGTTACAAATCTTCTCCTTTATTTTATTTTTAAATGATTAAAACNAAATATAATATTCTGTCTTTTTAATATTTCCCAAAATATTTCATTTTCTAGGAAGGGGGGGCTTCTTACACTTGCAAAAAAATAAAAACCACTCAAAAATTGACTATATTTGCAACTTTGTAAATAAAAAAAAAACAATCTTTCCAGTGATGTATCATAATTTTTAATCAGACCTTATATTAGGAAAATCTACAATTTATGGCATCTTGACAAATTCCAAATATTAGAGATATATTCAAGAACATGTTAAGTACATACCAATGATACAGGATTATATTAATCTTGCAGATTTTAGCCCAAGGCACTAATAGCAAAGGACCAAATTATATGAGTAATAGTTCTTCCCATTCTTTTGCTACATCTCCAATAGTAAAGCAACTGTCACCACCAACCATTACTAAACTTTCCCTAAAAAGCAACATTTTTGTTGGATTAACCTCCTCTTAAGTATAAATTTCATGTTATGTAACATACAACATCATTGATGTGTCAGAATAGGCAAATCAAACTCATTTTTAAAGAAGTCAATATCTCTTTTTTCATTTTTTAAATAAAATTTTACAGGTATAGGAATAATTGTTAATTCCGCTATCACAGCTTAAATCTGCACTCCTTCTTTCAAAATGACGATTATGATTTCGGTGGTGCTAAATCTGACCAAATCTCTACAGGATAATCACATTGGATGCCAAACTCTTGTTAATGAAATGAGGTTACAAATAACAAAAATAGTTTAATAGTCTAATAATTTAAAATGGGCTTTCTTCAACTTATGTATTAATTGGGTTGATACTAAGGCATTCAAAAGTAGATATTCTACTTTAAATACCACCATTTAAGCATCAATACAGACTTCACAAATATTGAAAGTTACTCTCTGTTTGGTTTCTTGACTTCTAATCTCAAATTTAGTAGCTGAAATCCTAGTCTTTATTGTCCTCAAATTAGCAGTGAAGGCTTTTTAATACTTGTTTCTTTAACCGTGATCCAATAAAATAAATGTGTTACCCTAATACTGATGAAGTGAATTCTATTGTGATAGTGTCACCAGTCAAGCAAACTTAGCAAGGAGAACTGGAATTAAAAAGATAATTATACATATTTTGCACCAACTTTCTACTAAGAGTGAAAGGGTTTTTTTAAGTTAATATGCTGCTTCACTACACATATGATCTATTACACAATTATGATGGTATGTACCATGTATAAAGTAGCATGTTTAGTGAAAAAAAACTCGATTTTCTGGACATTCATAGTGATTTTTCAGCCTCCAAAAATCAAAGGAGTAGTAATCAGTGACACAGCAATGACATTGAAGTGGGCAGTGAATTTTTCAGCCTCTTTAGTAAGGCTAAATATATGCTTTAAACTTACCAGTGATTCAACACAGCTGTTTTATTCAATATTTTTAAACTTAAAGATCATATCACACAAAATTACAATTTTGCTGCCACAGTTTAGTTATAGCTTTGGGGGTTGTCAAAATGGAACAGAGCTACATGGCAATTATTATCTATTCCTAATCAATTGGATTAGTAGAGTCTGCCTATATGAATCATAATATTGCATAATCATAATATCATATAACCATAAAACCACAAAAGCTCAGTTATGATTCAAGCATTCAAAACAAAAGGAACACTACAAAAGAGCTCCCCCCCCCAAAGAAACTCCCCTAAGAGCAGAGAGAAATCTTGTAAAGAATATTAGGGTACAGCCAGAACTCTGTATGTTTTTTAAAATGACCTGCAGCAATTGGCAAGTTTTCTTCCAGGAGAGATAATTCATTCTTATCTTCTCTCTGAGAAATTTTCAATTATCTTCTGAGATATCCAATTGCTGAACACTGTTTTAAAATCACCCCATTGATTTGTACACTTCCCTGTTACACTCATTACAAAATGAAACAAGCTACCTACAATTCAGTTCACAAAATATATGGAATGTACCCAGTGGTATATGTAAGGTGACCAGACGTCCCGCATCTGGCGGGACAGGCACGCCTTTCNATAACATGGTTCCTTATTTTGTTAGTTGATGTGTAAGATTTGCCTTTTGTGTTTCTTGCAATGGTGGAATGAATAATTGCATCTGTATTTTCGCACGTAATAAATATGCAGTATGAGTGTTATCTAACCATCCTAGTTGTCTAAATATTGTATTTGGACTTAGCATACAGTAGATTTAATGACATGCAACATCCATAAGAGGAATTTATTGATGCAGAAATGTCACCTAAATTTTAAAAAATAGGGTATGAGCAACCTCAGTGATATCACTATAGCAACTGGAGTATACTCCCCAAAGTTGAGCAAAGAGAGGTCATAACAACCATTAGGTGCTACTAAAAATCACCTTTTTTTCTAGTAATATTGAGGAAGAGTTTAGAAAAACATTTTTACAACACAGTAGGATTTTCTTTTTATATACAACTGGTGAGATTGGGACATTCTTTAGCAGCATAAATGAATTCATTTCTGATTTCTTGGAGAGATAAATACTTATTCTTCCTCTTATCAAAGGATTACTGTTAAGTAATGTGGTTGTAAAGGATCCAGGGGACTCCTATGGGAGAAGTTATCTTCTGTGCTCCTCTACTTAAGACAGGGCAGTCAAAGTATATGCTGTCCATTGTGGAAATGGGAGTCAATTCTCATTGCTTCACTGCCTTACTGGAGTTTTAAACCCCAATATTATTACTAAGGCTTCTATGGTTTTTTTTTTCCCTTTCCTTCTTTTTTTTTCTTTTGCCACTGGACAACACTTTGAAAGCAGGGGGTGGGAACTGGACCAGGGAAGGCTGGTCTATAGCAGAAACCTGTAAAAGGAACCACTAATTGGTTGTCACCTTAGCATCTCCTTAAAAAATGTCTATACTGTAGGGCTGAAGGTATAAAACTTAGTTATTTCAATTATAGAAATGGAATTAAAATGGTCAATAGTTGGGCTGATTTTTATTTCAGGATGATTACGTTTTGGAAGTTCGCCACTTTCAGTGCCCCAAATGGCCAAATCCAGATGCCCCAATCAGCAGTACTTTTGAGCTTATCAATATAATCAAGGAAGAGGCCTTAACAAGAGATGGCCCAACCATCATTCATGATGAGTATGTATATTCACTGAGTTAATTTTTGTAAAGATTGGAGAAAATATAAGAAATATAACATCTTGTGAATTTTCATCTAGGAGGGAGGTAAAAGGTATTATTGATTTCTCTAGGAATATTAGAATTGTTTTTAAAGTTTCATAAATATTCTTCTGTATCCAATTTTATACTGAATGTTAATAGGAATAGAGTGATTTTTAAATGTTTTTTTATTGTTTCATGACTTACAAAGGTATAATATTAGAGATATTTTTACCAATTTGCATTAAGCCATGGCTAATTTTAATATTCATCTAGTTTGTACTCATTTTGCTGAGCTTGGCATGTTAAAAATTGTTTCAAAATTAGCCCAGTTATTGATTTGAGCAATTTGTCAGACAAAAATAAATATCAAACTTGTTTTTAACACTTCAAGGTTATCTCTTTGGTAAATCCATTTTAGTATTTGTTATATTCACTGAATTTTATTTTCATGTTTTAAGGTATAAGTTCAGCTTTTAATTGCATTTTGAGGAAATGTAGCAGAAAATATATTTTCCATATGTGTACCCATCCTTATCATCCCTTGTTTTATTCCTTCAAGAATAAATACTTGACAAAAACTCAGGAGGAAATTGAAGAAAAATTAAATTTGACATAGAGGCATAAATGCTTCCATTCAGCCTGATAAGACATACCCTGGATCTCTTATAGGGAATAAAATTATTCTTTGGATTTGCAGGTATGGAGCAGTGGCAGCTGGAACATTATGTGCTCTGACTACCCTGTCTCAGCAACTGGAGAATGAAAATGCGGTTGATGTTTTCCAGGTGGCAAAAATGATCAATCTGATGAGGCCTGGCGTATTTACAGACATTGTAAGTTTGGAACTTTGAAAGATAGTTTTGGTTTACAAAGAAATAATTCAACAAAAAATAAGAACAATTGAAATCCTTGCATAGGTTTTGTGCACAGTCCTAAGTTCTTGCCATATTGGTTCAAATATATTATTTTCTTAATTATGTTCTGTTTGCTCTTCAGAGTCACTTCATGTGAGATGGGTGGCTATACAAATATGATACATAAATGTTTTTCTCCTGCTTTTCTTATGGGATTTCTCCATGTGTTGTTGTCTAGTCATATGCACAGCTGAACTGTGAAATTGTAGTCTTTTTCCATTAATGGATCCAAGAGTCGCTTTGCAAAGTGAGATGAGCAGCAAATAAATTTAATAATTTAATTATTATTACTTAAATATAATTATTTAAGCNTCCAGTGTCCATTTGAAAGCACTGAACCATGGCAAAAGCAAATTGACTTTCCCCCAGTACTAAAATATACCTAAAACTGCTGACTTATGCTGTTCTCAGAAGGAGTCACTGTACGGAGCACTTGTGAGCAATCCAGGCCTCTCCTTGCTCCAGAGAGGAATTCTGAGGAGCCAATCCTTTCACCCGCTTCTCTTTCTTCCATGGCTATCAGCTCTACTTTCCATGGAGCTGTCGTCAGTCTGCTATTGCATCCCCAGAAGTCCAAAATAAATATAATTTGAACTGGGTTTTCAATGCTCATGTAGAATCTAGTCCACAGGTTTGTAATTCCATTTAACATGTAATAACCTTCCACTTAACATTCATTCATTTTCTTTATCATTAAGCTTAATGTTGCAGGCAAAGAGATTAACAATAATAGAGAAAATTCAGGGGAAAGAGGTGCTGTTCAAGATTAAAAGTAAGAATGAACTCCACAAAATAATTTCACTGTGATATGAAAAAGTGCACTACTGGGGTTACATTTCTCATTTTGTTTTAAAAGACAGTAACATAAGCTCCAAAACAAAGAACTAGAGCAGTGGTAGAAGAAAAACAGCGAGTGCCTAATTTAATTAACATTTATATTTTTGTTATGCAAATAGCAGCAGCAAAGCCTGAGCAGGCTCAGAATCATGAAGGGATACAGAAAGTTATTCTGCAAATGTCAGAACAACCATTAAAATGGGAGTTTGGGAAAGCAATTTTTTCCTCCCAGAATTATGGCAGAGCATATAGCAGAAACAACTGCTACCGTCTCATCTTTCTTGAGTACCAGTTATGCATGCTTCTTATTAGGTATTTATGTGACATAAACATACACATTAATTGCATTCGCATAATTAATAACTGGAGTCAATGGAGCAGGTTGATCAAAATTTGACTCCCATTAGATTCAATTTACTTTAAGCACAACTAACTTCTCCTGGATTTTGTGGCTGCTCCCATATAAATGCTTAACAGGATTTAGTCCTTTACTGTTCATGTTACAATTATACTCTGCCTTGCTCTTCAGGATAGGTCTTGTACCTGTTTATGAAAAGATTATTGTAGAACTGCTAATTGATAAAAGCTGTAAATGTAAATGAACAAATAAGTAGCCTCTCAATTCTTATGAAATATTGCTACTCATCCTTCCTGCTAAACTCAAGTTCTATTCATTTGTGGGTTTAAAAAAAAGAGTTGTAAATGCTGATTAACTTGTAAAGCCTGGATCCCTGGGCTTTTAAAAAGTCATCTGGAATTGAGAAAACATAGTTACAACATGGATAGTCTCTAACACATGACCATTTTACGCATTTGGATGCTCACCCCAAGTTCTTGAGTTCTCTACTAAATTCCAGTATATTGAAATATCTGAAGCTCATTCGCAGTGTACAGTCTTTATCTCAAATATGTTTTATTTTGTATTGTTGAATCCAGCTAATGTTAGTAACCCTTTGTATTAATTCATCACTCATTCATAATGCTTTTTTATTCTTAATCAGCTCAGAATATAAACGCAATCACTCTTAAGATGTATATTCATGCCTATATACAAGGAAGAGAACGTATTCAAATCTATTCTAATTGGGATTATAGTGAGAAGAGCAAAACTTGTTTCCTAATGCTTCTAAACTACTTCTTTAAGCTGAAGAAGACTGATTGGAAAGTACCAAACTATTCTCCCTTTCCTTTTTCATGGCACAGCACAATGATTTGCTATAAATGCCTGTTTTCTTATAAAGTGCTATTCTTTTTTAAAATAGAGCTATTAGTTTTACCAAAGAAGCTTAATACAAATCCCTAACAAAAATAATAGTCCAATTATAGGAGGGAGGGGGAACAGGAAATGTTATGAAATGAATGAACTCGCAGCCATGCTTTCAAAATTTATTTTCTTCTCCTACCCATTCCCATTATCAATGCTCACGACAGTGAATTTTATATCAACTGGAAATGCATTTCTTTTTTTGTTACAGGTGTAATTCTCTACTCTGGCTCGTGCATCGTTTGAGTTTTCTCTTTTGGTTGCCATTATAAACAATACCAGCTACACCCATCTGTGTAGGGCAGGCATACAAACGGGGGGACAAAGAAAGACAAACCACAGTGAAAGTACTAGGCCTCAGACATTATAGTTTTAGCTATTTGACTGTTTTTAGTATTTTTGTTAGATATTTGAAACAGAACCCTTTTCTACAGAGGATAATTAATTTCAAGAAAAAAAATGTCTTGAGTTTTAAGAATAAACATGTCTCCAGAAGAGGAGATAATCAATTTTATAAAATGTCACAACTCTCCAACATTTGGGGTGGTGACTTTTTTGTTGTTGTTAAACCTTTGAAACTAGCAAGCAGCCATTGTTTCTAAAGAACTAAGTGTTCATCTCTAGCCATCCTTTTCATTTCATTCATTTTTAAATAACAGAACTCATTACAACTGTAAATATTTTGTTGCTTGAATAAAGCATCTTCTGGGAACTTTGTATCAATGGTATATAATCATAGAATTTTATATTTTCATATAAAGCTAATTTTTTTCTAGTTTCAACTTCATTTCTTTCCTTTTGTGGTGGATATGTGACAACATCTTTTATGTGTACTAAAGTAGTGAAATGCCATCACATTCCAAAAACAATTCAACACAGGTTATTTCTTTGGAACAGTGATTGTTGATGCTGGATTTTCTTTAATTTCCATTGTCAGTGTGTGCAATAGGAATTAGACTTAACCAGTCACTGGATAAGTTTATCTCTTTGACCCATTGGGGAAATGTGGTATTTGGTTTTAGGGGAGTTCTTAATTTTTGTTTTTGTTTTCTTTTTTGTAACTTGAAGAATTTCCATTTTGTTATGTTTAAAAGTATATTAAATCATTCTATTATAGTGTTATTTAATATGTAAATTGTATTGCTATACATAAAATAAAGTATGGTTTTTGATGTATTTATAATAGTTGATTGATCATTTCAATATAGGTGCACAGATGCTGTGTGAATTAAAACTGACTCCAATGTAATAAAAAGGTCAACATATAGAATTAGTCTCTTGGGCATAGATACAAGTGAAGCCACCATGAATCAACTGTTAGGTAGTTTGCTGTGTTTTTTTAAACATTTGAAAATAAATTCTGTATATATAGCACATACAAATTAAAAAATATCCTTCATAACTTAGAATGAGGAAGCTGCCTTTTCCAGGCCTGCTAGAAAGTCAGATTCCATCTGTTATTTTAGTCATTCCTCACAAAGGACATCTTATTGACTGAAACTGAAACGTTCAGTTTTCTTGAAAGATAAATCTATTTAAATGGTTCGCTTCTGCAGTGCACATTCAAACTAGACTAGAACAGGAATGGAAAACATTCTGTAATGTTAATTGATAAGAAACAGTCCTCTGTTCTCAGGGAGGCAAAAAAACATTTGGCCCTCCCATTCCTTCTCTCACTTTCAAGCTGGTCTCTATTCTTTCTTCTTCAAAAGTTGGAAAACATCCCATTATAAAGATTCCAAAATCCTGTGCTAGCCATTGACCCAGAGACAAACTGGGAAGGGCTTGGCAGTGAAAAGTTGAAACAAAGAGTGAAGGTCTCATTGGAATCATATTATAGCCTGGTCACTTCATGGAACCACACATCAGAGGTGGGTTCCTACCAGTTNGCCTATTTTGGATCCTGTCTGACAAATCACATTGGTTGTTGTGGTCCAGGAGAATTTCTGCTGTGGCTCCCGCCCTCTGGAATATTCTCCCATTGGAAGTGAAGATTGTCCCCACATTCCTGGCCTTCCAGAAGAGCCCAGATACTTTGTTCTGCTACTTAGCCTGGAACCCCAATGGGGCATGTACTTTGGGGGTAGTTGACAGCTCCCGAGAAGATTCCCACCCCCAAGTTGCCCATTGTCTTGGTTTTTAGCTTTCCTGTTTAATTCTTCCAATTCTATCTTGTATTACCTTTTTATTTTATTATATCATGATACAGAGTTGCTATATCAATAAGGTCTGGCATAAAAATTTAATAAATTAATGAAACATTCTGCTTTGTTAGGTACTTAAAATTAACACCTTTTAATCTTTTTCTTCTAGGACCAGTACCAATTTCTTTACAAAGCAATGCTAAGCCTGATCAGCACTAAAGAAAATGGAAATGGCCCCATGGCAATGGACAAAAATGGTGTTGTTATGGCCAGTGAAGAATCAGATCCTGCAGAAAGTATGGAATCTCTTGTCTAAAAGGAATACTTAAAGGCACTTAATTTGTGGAATTTCTGAAGACTGAACTTTTTGAGGCCTTTTTTGCCAGACTCTAGGTTATACAATAACCCAATTACTTTTTTACACTGATAAAAAGTTTTGATATTTATTTTTGCCATTTTACGTCTTAATGGTATCCTACTGAGCATTTGCACCTCTGTTTATTTCACACAGTGAAACACAAATTTTATCTAGTTTGCACTATATGATCAGTGTTAACTGCCTATAGAGATATAATACAAAAGAAAACAAACAAATCCTGATGACATTCCATGAGAACAGACACACTACTTATTAGTTGAAATACCATGATGTTTAATTAATTCTCATAAGCCTTGGCTTTACAATCTTGGATGCTAGGCCAGAGAAATATTTTTGATTCACATTAAAAAATGCTGTACCCTTGACATATTCCAATATTCATTGTTTAATTTGCATACTGCTACAGTTCTTTTGTTTTCCAGTAACATGGATGAGTAGTGTTCTTCATTTTCTCTCAAACTAGTGATCACTAGATAAATTTTGGAAAGCTACTGAAATTCAGCTTAACAGCTGCTCTGCATTGTCTGGAATTTCTCTTTTGACTTCATAAAGTTCAATGAAGTGTTTTCTATGAAACACATAAAATTGTATTCCCAAAATGCAAAGCAACTCAGATTTGTGATTCAATTTCAGGTCTCGAATTTATACTTTCATTAATTCCCAGGTGTTTTTAATCACATTCTCATTTCAAGAAAATATTTTGATCATATTTCCACTGAGGACAATTTAATTACAGTGCAACAATGTTCAATCAGATCATTTTATTCCAAAAGTATTTAGCAATATTTCCAATTCATACACAATTCACATTTACATGTATAGTTCCTTAAGTTTCTGGAACGGAACCACTGTCTTTACAGTATGTTATATGATGGAGAAAAGAATTTCTTAATTTCATAGCTGTTAGATGCCGTTTTTACAGGTGTGTAATTTTCATACTCTAGTGCTAAAACGTACTGATCCATATTACTGGTGAAGCGATCTAATAAAAAAAACTACCTATAAGATTACATTCTTCCTCTTTTTTTAACACTATTGATTAGTATGTACTTCCCAATTTCATAATTTCATTTTTCGATACTATACATAATATTCTACAAAATAATCCTATATGTCTACTCAAAAGTAAATTACACTGAATCAATGTATAATAGGATTACAAAGTTAATATGTTTCACTCCCTTTGAAAAAAAATCTGCTCATTATCTTTTAACATTTAATGTTTTGTTCCAAATAACTTTAAAAAGTTGTGCTTTCCAAACCATTTGTGAAGCTCAGTTGAATATATGGTTCCCTCACACGGCTTTTATGAGACCAATTCATGGAAGATCAATGGCTACTCAGTAGGAAGGCAACATATTATCTCCAGTATCAGAGGCAACAGGCTTCTCAGTTTCAGTTACTGAGGGAAATGATGGAGACAATACTATTTTTGCTTATATTCTGCTTCCGGATGTGACATTGGTACTGGTAGAAGAAAGAGCCTTTGATCTTTATCAGTACTGCTTTTCCTATGTTTTTGCATTGTACAAATGAGAAATGAACTAGCTTCTAGTGAAATACAATCTTTTTATATAAGCTGAAGATATAGAGTAACTCAGTAGATATGACAGCATTAGTTTTCATAGCTAAAGCAAGCCTCCTTTGCACTTTTGGTTGCTACTCCTGAGAGCTCCTCAAGCATCAGAGAACAGACAAGTAGATGTTTTCAGGAAAGCCATTGGATTCCACCCAATGGCTATCTGGATTAGCTCAATCAAAAAGCAGTTTGTGTGTTCTCTGAATGAGTGAGGTTTATTTATCTCTGTTTCCAATTCAAACTAGATAAAATAATGTGCCAGCATATGAAAGTAACAAGGTATGAAAATGGCAGACTGTAACAAACCAAAGTGAAGTTGCCTCATTTAAATGTTCTCTCTTGAGCTGTCAGGGTAGAAGTGGCTGTACTTATGGAAAAGGAATCCAGAATTAATCAAAACAAAAATTGACTGTAATTGATAAAAGTAGATAAAAACTGGACTGTAAGCCAGAAATGGGTTGCCAGATATTCCTTCATTTAAGGCAAGAGTTCCTACCTAGCCCATAGAAGGAATCACAGAATCAGTTATAACTTAGCATTTTCCTAGGTATTTGGCTGGCATATAGTTATTGTTTTCCCTATTGTATGAATTCCAATTCTAAAATAGTATATTCCAAACATTTATTAACTCAGTAAGAACAAGATAATTGTATATCATATACCTTCATTTCTTCCTTTAAAAAAAACATACTTGGAATAGTTCCTCTAAAGCAGGAACCTAAAGTAGTCAACCTTTTTATACCTACCGCCCACTTTTGTATCTCTGTTAGTAGTAAANTATATGTCTATGGAGATTCTCAGTCATCCAGGTTCCATGGTTGTTCCATGGTTGTTGCCTTTTTTAAGAGGCAACCGGACTTCCTGGTTTTTCTTTGAAGACGTTTTGCTTCTTATCCAAGAAGCTTCTTCAGCTGAAAAACAAGAAAGTCCAGTTGCCACTTGAAAAAGCCCCTTTGGGACAACTCTGTGGTATCCTTCTCTGATACCCTCAGTAAAGTAGCTGAAGTTCTTCTGAATGGAATAAAATATATTTTTACACATTACCCATCCTTTTAACTACATTTTTGGATAGTTCTTTTTTCTCAAAAATTAAGATGCATGTTTAAAAATTATGTAGTCACACAACCAAATTCCTTAAATTTTACTTCAAAGGATAGGACTATTTTCAGGAATTGTACAACTCAAATCATCCCACAAATACAGTTGACAGTTTTGTAAATTTATTTTATTAATAAATAATTACTTAATTAGTAAATTTTGCATTCTGCTATATAAAAAGACAATGTTCACATTTTGAAAAGGATTTCTCATAAAATATAATCACAACACATTGATAGGTTTTCAAAGAGAATATTATATTTATCGGTCTTTGGAAAAAGATTTTAAAGTATTGTAAAATTCCAAGAAAGTCTTAAATGTTGCAACTAAAATCAATAATAATGTAAAAATTAAAAAAAAAACAACCCAAATTATGTGTGCCAAATCATTTCCAGCAAAAGAACAGCAATGAAGATGTAGGGAAGGTGGAATCTAAATTTAAAAGATCATGAAAAATCAAGTCTATCAAACCATAAATAAAGGAATATCCAGCAACCATAAGACATTAAATAAAACTAGCTAAAGTTCATCCATCTCCTTCCCAAAATCCAAGGTTCAGTTCTGTCTCTATATCTGTCTGAGCAATATTAAAGATCTAAACAACCATCAGCAATATATGTCACAAACTGCTCATTTATTGTCATACTTTTTAATCTCTGTACTTCTCATTTATCCAGTATTGATTCTACAAATACCTTAAAGGAATTAAAATTAGTTATTAGGTATTACATCATGTTTTTTATCTTACGAAAAACATTTTGGTTTATCAGATGATGGACAGATTCATAAAATCACTATACTATACGTCTTCAAAATGTTTACAAAGGAACCTTCAAGCGTGAAGCCATTCTGATGGAATTAATTAGTATAGTTGACATTAAAAGTGTCACTTTTCCTGAGACCATCTAAGGAACAAAATTTACCAGTTCATCACAGTAAGTGGAAGTAAATTACTATTCTAGACTTGCCCTTTACTGCTTTAATTGTGCTCTGTAGAACAAAGCAAAAAAAAATATGCATTCTGATTTGCTTTCTGTATTTTTCTTAGAAAAATAATTATATACATTATATCTTCCTCCACTAACTATCTAGAAATCTACATTAACATGACCACAATGGTGGTCTGACATTATGTCTGGCTCATAAGCCAGCTTGCTTCTACCCCACGTTAGGTCTAAAATCTAGGTCTTCTTGTTTCTAGTGCAGCACCTTAACCAGTATACCACACTCCATCTCCTTATACAGCTAGGTCTTAATTAGTGAAAGCAAATTAGTTCCAGCTCACTGTAAAAAAGTTTTTTGCTTTCATGTTTTACAATATTGTGTCTTGTAAATTCAGGCATCTTGTCCCATTTTAGTGCTGCTATGGTCACATTTATTTTGTTTATATACAATTTTTTGTTCTAAGATAATAATTAGTCTTGTTGAGCTTGTAGTGCTCTGATTTAATCTTTTTGTTTTATTTTTATACACAAACAGCAACTGCACATGTACTAGGCTCAAATATATATGTGCTAGGGAATTAAAGGAATTTTGGGCTGCATTAAACTTGACCTCATATCAATTTAAGTTCCCACTAAATCAATTATATTATTCAAACTTGCATTAATTGCAACCTCGATGTATATCAAGTTCAATGGTCACTATTACATCACCCTAATAAAATGAAACAAAAAGCTTATATTTCAGAATGTATTAATACTTTCACTATTTTTTTAGATATATAGCTCTAGAGACATAGATATGCACACAGTATTTCTAGAAATGAAACTAAGCACAACTTGAAATACAAATTCTTATATTTGTTGAGGAAGAACATTGAAAATAATTTTTAGCTCAAAACTTAACAAATTTGTGCCAATTCCTTGGAAAATGACATAACTGCATAATTTTACAATTGGCTTTGTAATATTTTGCAGTCTTTATTTTCAGAACATATGAAATATTAATTTTTGATGTTGTCAAACATATCCATTTCTGTTGATAATATATCAAAAACATCAGTAACAGAAAGAGGCAAACAACCACCACACCTTATGCCTTCAGATAAAATTACAGCACTTGAAAGCAGAATGGATCTTACAGTATATTGTTACACAGATATATTGGCAAAATGGAAGACTGTATGTATCCAAGGAAAATTATGGATGAGAGTGGCAGTTACAAGAATACAATAAAGCCAATACCAAAAAGAATACAATAAAGAATGGTCAACATCTATGGTTGAGAAATACTGCTCATCCACCAAACAAGAGCAGCAGAAGACAGGCAAATTCAGATTAATAAGTCCAGAACAATGTGTCTTCAGGTCAATTTATTAATGCAATGTTTTGCTCCTCCAATCTGTTTCTTGTAAATATTTTTGGAGTAAATTAATAAACAAGTCAGTCCCTATCCTTAAACTTAAATATATATAGGATGGGTGATAAGGAAGACAAAATTTGGAAAGGAGAAACACATGCCTACTTCAGTTGCAGAGATTTTTTGATAGGCTAAGATGGAAATAGTTCAGGGAAAAACAGAGGTTAAAAGACTGGTCACTCATCTGAATGGTCATTATTTTGATGTGGCAACTTGAAGGAAAGGAAATATCTGCAATGCTGGACTATTAGTTCTGGATTGGATTATAAATAAATTAGATATAATAAAGAAGTTGAAAAAGAAAGTAAAGATAAGACCATACAATGAGTTTAAACTGATCCCAGCACTGCAAAATGCTATCTGAAACAATTATTATACACTATTTTATAATCACACTATCTCCCACAAAATGAAACAAATCCAGTTATTAATAAATAAAATAGGAATAAACTGTTATTGTACTTGAAAAATCATATAGCATATACCCACAGGACAATCTATACACAATCAAGAAATTAAACTTAAAGAAAATATTTGCCTCCTTTACACATTAGGACCATTGAGATTATTTTACAAATTAGTTCAATCAGTGGATCTACAACAAAGACCAGAAAGATAATTCAAAGATTTATATAAGATACTAAAACAAATGCAGTTTGAGCCAATCTCTGCTTTTATAATTTAATAAAAAAAACCATGGCATCTATTTCATGAATAGGCAAACCTCCCGTACCTGCATTTAAAGAGCACTCATGAAATATTCTCAAATTTACACAAGCTCAGAAATTTTAGCGTCCCCCCACCCCCTTGTTAGGCCAAGGGGGTGTATATATATTCCATTTATATACATTAGCCATGCAACGTTAAAAGATAAAGCTAAAAGATGTAAAACTCTCTCTAGTTCAGATACATCAGCAAAATGTTCTCTTAATGTTGAATGTTGCCATGTTTTGCCTTGATTTTACTTTTAATTGGGCTTTTTAATTTTTTAATCTTTGTAGCTTTATTTTGCTATTTATAAACCTGCTATTTGTTAATAAAACAATATTTAGTATGTACATATACTACTGAAAGCAAAAGACATAAGTACACAATATGCTCATGTTCAATTAAATTAAGTGGCACTTAGAATAATTTGGCAGGAAGTCAGTCTGCATTTATACCTGTTCAAATTCCATAGATTTAAGTATGCTGAAATTCCCATAACTCTATAGGGTTATTACTATTATATGCACATAATATATCTGATTACAATAAAACATTTAAATTAATATAAAACAAATATATTAGTAAGGGATGATCTTTAGTATGAAATATTAACTAGATTAGCTTTTATTGATTATAAGCTTTTCCAATACTCTTTAAATAGATATTAACAGTGGGATAGCATTCTGCCTTAAATTATGGTCTCCTTCATATCCTATAGTCAAGTTTAGATAACATTAACTAGGATTAATAAGTACAAGTATAGGGTCGTTAAAAGAAAACTATTAAGTACAAGTCTCAGTCATGCATTTTATTTCCTCCTTGTATAAGTTAATGTCTTCTATTACAATTCTATACAAGCTAGCTTTGCATTATACACAAATGCAGAAAGTGCAAGTGTGTTTTTTCCTGACTACTACAAATAGTTCAAACCAAGATTATATTGTAGCTCAGATATTTCATAAACCACAATTCTTGAAACTTAACATAATCCAAAACTGCAGTTTGATCAAAATAACTGGACAATTTAAACTCCCCCCCCTCACACATGATAAATAGGATTCGCATATAGCAATAGCAGTTAGACTTATATACCGCTTCATAGGGCTTTCAGCCCTCTCTAAGCGGTTTACAGAGTCAGCATATTGCCCCCAACAACAATCCGGGTCCTCATTTTACCCACCTCGGAAGGATGGAAGGCTGAGTCAACCCTGAGCCAGTGAGATTTGAACAGCCGAACTGCTGAACTGCAGTCAGCTGAAGTAGCCTGCAGTGCTGCATTTAATCACTGCGCCACCTCGGCTCCTCAATATACTTTTTTACTGCATTTTTATCTACCTCTCAAAGCTGTTCAGATACATGTATCTTGCCAGGTTCAAAATCTTAAAAATGCAGGACATGGAGAAGATCTGGAGAAATACAGAGGAATTTATGCACAGCCCAGGATTCCCTTCCTGTTCTTGCCCTTCACCTGATCAATTGAAACAATCTTACCATAGACCAAGAATATCAGATGTCTTAGTGTTGTAGTCTCAAGACAATTGGCAGCAGAAGCTGATTGTCCTATCAGCAGGAGTACTAATCATGCTGCCTACAGCTGCTGCTTC